AAAGAAGCCCCGTAGGAATTCCTGGGCAAATCACAGCGTTAGCTGCCGCTGGATTAAGAGAATTAAGAGTGAGCAAGTCAGAATCATTAAAACAGAGATCAGGAAAGTCACATTTCTGGATCTGCCATATTAAAGAGAAGGGGGAACACGCCAATTGGCTTGTCATTTTCTCATTAGATAACAGATGGCCGCTGAGTCACGGCTCCCGGCAGTCCGGACGCTGCTGTCTGCCGGCTTCCTCGCTGGGGCCCACCCGCTCGGGGCTGAGGGAGTCTGCGGGGGGCAGAGGAGGAGGCCCCCTCCTTCTGTCTCCTCCTCCTCCACCCAGGCCTGGTCCTCGTCCCCAGCCTCCAGAGATCTGAAAAAAAACCTTCTCTTCCTCTCTCGTTCACTCAGCCATGATCCTGTGCACGTCCATGTGGGGGCCTGGGCCCCTGCGCCCACGGAGCCCCCAGCCTGGGAAGGGACTCAGAAGATGGGCAAGGACGTGGCACCCTGGAGTTGGGGTCATGGAGGGGATGCCCAGGGGTGGTGGGGACCCAGGAGAGGCGTCTGACCTAGCCTGAGGCCCCACAGGGTCTTGGGTAGGGGGTTCTCAGGACCACGGAGGCAGCTATCCGGGCCCCTGCTGCCCGAGGTCTGGGTCTCCCCACCGGAACCTGGCCTCTCCCACCAAAGGCCTTACTCCTGGGGGCCCTTCTCCTCCAGATTCCTCCAGCCCCCACCACATGAGCTTGTGGGGCGCCTGCACCTGTGAGCCCAGCGGTGGGCACAGAAGAGCAGCGTCCCTTTCATCTGGGGCCATTTCTGGCCCGTAGATGGTCACTCACAGGTCCCTCTCCCTGACCTGCTGGCTCTCGTTATCGTTGCTTTTGGACACCAGAACGCAGACCACACTGCGGTCCACGTCTCGTCACGTAGGCAAGTGTGTGGCTCTCGGTGGGCTGGGAAGAGGCGGGGAGCAGTCTGTGATGAGCTGATGGCTTTAATGAGGTCCCTTTCAATGAGCAATGTGAGGCAACTGGGGAAAATTTTTTTTTTTTTGTTAATCCTCCCCTGAGGATATTTTCCCACTAATTTTTAGAGAGAGTGTAAGCGAGGGGGAGAGACACAGAGAGAGAAACATCGATGTGAGAGAGATACATCCATTGGCTCCCTCCGGCACGCGCCCTGACCCTTCGCGACTGCCACGGTCCCGGGCCTGGTCCTCCTGGCTTCCCTGTCCAGTTCCAGGCAGGACCTCGTGGGATCTCCGCCCCAACTTGTGGAATGGCTGCCCCCTCCCCCCGCCGCCTTCCGGGAACTGCACCCGGGGCTCTGGGATCCACGAATGTTACCCGGAACATGGAGTCCCATCACGTTCCACGGGACCATTCCAGATGTCAGGAAACCCTGGCACAACTCCACGGTGCTCTCCGGAGTCTGTTTTCCCTGGCAGCCCAGAGGGGAGTCCTCAGGGGTTAAAAACCCACCGCTTCCATGGGTGACGGAGACGATGGGCGAAGGGCTCGCTTCTCCCATCCACCTACCGAGGTTTACAGCTCAAGCACCCGGGACGGACACATCCGTGAGCTCCAGCCCCGATAAGCAAGACAGATGCCTCCCCTGGGAACGTTTACTCACCGACAGGGCACTTAGAGTCAGAGACAGCACAAGTGTGATCCCCGAGCGGGCAGTCCTGAGTACGACAACACGGCACAGTCTCTCCTGCCCCCCCACGACACGCAGGGCTGGAGGGGGACACGCGGCCGCGTCAGCACGTCACAGGCTCAGCGCAGCTGTCAGAGCACCAAGGACTCCAGCCGCACCTGCCTCTCGGGGCCCTTGAGGCTCCAGGGGGACAAGACCTGGTTCATAGAAGAGACAACACAGGAGCCTCCCCGGGAACAGTGAGGAATGGAGGCCAGAGAGAAGGGGCTCCCCAAGACCCTGACACCGGAGTGTACGTCTCTCCATTCTCCATCCGATGAACTAAAACTAGACTTTAAGAATGCCCACCTGTGCATGGCGCTCAGTGTCTGACAGTTGGCAGAGCGTTCTGCAATGATCCCGTGAGGTCGCCAGGGCTGGGGTTTTCCATCTCATTTTGCTGGTGAGGAAACAGGGGCACAGAGAGGAGAAATGTGGGCTGGAGACGAATCCAGGTTCAGGGCACAGGTTCCCAGGGGCTCCCCTTCAGGAGCCCCTGGGATCTTCTGCCAGCTGACCTTAGATGGGGCCTTGGTTTTTAGCTCTGACATTGCTACCCACCCGGAAACTGCCTGCCCGCTTCCCTTGCAGCTAAGCGAATCCTTCATGGCCAATGCTTGATGAGAAGTTTAAGCAGAAGTGTCCTGTGGGACTTCCAGGAATTCATCTTCAAAACTTAGAAGCACACCCTTCTTTTGTTAATCCTCACCTGAGGATGGGTTTTCCATTGATATTTAGAGAGACTGGAAGGGAAGAAAGGAGGAGGAGGAGGAGGAGGAAAAAAGAGGAGGGAGACATCCATGTGAGAGAGAGACATCGATTGGTTGCCTCCTGCACATGCCCCAACCCGGGGATTGAACCTGCAACCCAGTTACAAGCCCTTGATCGGGAATCGAACCGGCAACCCTTTGGTGTGAGGGCCGATTCTCTAACCACTGAGCAACACCAACCAGGGCTGCACACCCTTCTTTAATCCTTCCTCTGTCCTGCTGTCTGGAGCTTGGGTATGATGGCTGGAACTCCAGCAGCCGTCTTAGGTTGTGAGGGTCCCCTGGGGCAGCAATAAGCTAGGATGGGCCCAGGTTCCTGATGTCCCTGTGTCCCCCACACCAGTCCCGTATTTCCTACGCCGGGATTTCTTTAATGTGAAGGAGAAATAGATTTCTCTTGTGTCTGAGTCACCGTTATTTTGGGTTCCCAGGCACACGTGGTTGAGCACCGTTCTCACTGATACCCCAAGCAAGCTTGGTTTCTAAACAAAGCAGAACTCGGCGGGTATTTGCGGACCTCGCACGTTCCCTTCCCGCGGCGGCCCGAGGGGACACGCAGATCCTGGTGTACCTTGCTGAAGAACAAGAGACAATAGTTACAATCTGTTAATCCCATCTGTCTCCCGGGGAGGGGAGATGGCTACATGGTGACAACAGGAATTCTCAGGCCGTGGGGAGTCTCCCATGTCGGGGACATTGGGGACGGAGGGACCCAGGGAGGAGGCACCCACCGAGCCAACCACAAGGGGTTTCTTATCAAGCAGTGACAGATTCTGTCATTTCCGAAGCCCACTTTCATTTATTACAACCACGTTAACTCCCGCTCCTTGCTCTCCTACCAGGTGCCCCCCACCCCGCCCGCCCACAGCAACATTATTTCCCTCACTTCACACACAGTACACTCGAGGCCCAAAGGGCAGCTGGCTTGCCCAGGGAGTAAGTAGCGTAGCAGGGCTGCCTGGCTCCTTTTTGCTATGCATTCTCTTAGTGGGGGAAGAGCAATCTAGCAACACATATCCTAGATTTCCAGAAAAGTTCCAGATTCATTAACTATTTTTTTTCCTCCCAAAGAACATATGTTTTGGTTTACAAACTACGGAGCTTTGGTTTGTAAATTATACTGGCCCCTGGGAAACACCTTTTAAAGTCATCCTCCAAAGTAGCAGGTGTTAACAGGGAAAGATAGAGACGGTGCTGGGGAGTTTAGAGGAAGTCAGAGAAGGCTTCCTGGAGGAGGTGGTCTTTGACGTAGGTGCAGACATAACACTGAACTGGATGGAGGAATTTGCTCTGGGGATAATTAGGGCTACAGAGAGGAGGCGATGAGGAGGAGATGGTCGTGGAAGGTAAGAACGTTCTGGAAGAAGGGAGAACACAGGAGGTGGAAAGACCTAAGGACTCAGGTGAAGCATCCGGGAGCCGGGAGGCACGTGATGTGCCCAGGGTGAGAGTGAGGGGAGCAAAGTGGAGGAGACAAGGCAGTGGTCCCTGTGAGAGAGGGGGTGACCTCATCTAGGACAGGGGCAGCGGGAGAGGAGAGGGGAGACTCAAGGACAGGACTTCACCACGATCATCACGCGAGGGTGGTCACGGGGGAGGAGGTGACGAGAGACCCCGGTTTCCGACTTCAGCCACGGGTACCACCCATGAAGGGACAGATTCCCTTTTTCCTCAACAGGGAGGCATGAGGTCGTCCCATACAGGTCAGTAATCAAGGTTATTCTTTAGATCAGTGGTTCTCAACCTTCTGGCCCTTTAAATACAGTTCCTCATGTTGTGACCCAACCATAAAATTATTTTCGTTGCTACTTCATAACTGTAATGTTGCTACTGTTATGAATCGTCATGTAAACATCTGATAGGCAGGATGGTCTTAGGCGACCCCTGTGAAAGGGTTGTTCGACCGCCAAAGGGGTCGCGACCCACAGGTTGAGAACCGCTGCTTTAGACGTTTGCTTAATTTCATGAGCTCAAGGAGCGGGTGATGCCCTACGAATAGCAAGTGCATTGGAAACAGATGGACTTGCTACCGCTCTTCCAAGTAGCTGAGAAGGGTTCCCCGAACGCTGCCTGCATTCCTCGTCTGTATGTCTTGCCCTCAGCTCGGCTTGTGTACATGGTTGTGTCTCTGGCAGGGAAAAAGCAGGTCAAAAAAGGTGAACCCCAAGTGGTAACTCTCACCTGTGTTTGGTGTGATTCTAGGCGATCCGTTATTTTTCTTTGTGTTTCCCATGTTTTCTTCCCTGAGCAAAGGGGGATTAAAAACAGGTGGCCCCAAAAGAGGGGAAAACGGGCTGGCCCCAGAGGCCTCCTCTGAGGACGACAATCAGGAGGAAATGAAGGGTCTCTTCAGGATTTTGAGGGGCACGTGTGTGGGCCAAGAGTTACCTACCAGCCATGAGTCGTTCGTGAGTGAAGGCTGCACGGAGGTCTCCTTGGATAGGCAAGACGAGGGAAATTATGGCTCATGTTACCTCCTGGAACAAAATGAAGACCTCGAGGCGGGAAAGTCGCAGCGTACAGGGGCTGGCGGGCAGCGTGGGAGCCAGACAGAGAGGTAGGTGGAGGCATAGAGGCTGCTATAAACAGGGAAACAGAACACCCCAAATTTCATAAGAAAAAGATTGATAAAACAAACAAATTGGAAAAGGCTGGATTTATAATCCTGAATTGAAATAACAAAGACCTGGTGGGGGTAGAGGTGGGGGCAGGAAAGCATGACAAGTTACTAAAAACACGTGGCAATTGGTCAGGCCTTATGATATGGCTCTTGATTTTGGCAAGTATGGAAATGTAGGCCCCAGTGTGCAGTTGAGGATCTTAAAGGAGATTGTGGAGAGCGGCTACAGCGTTTGGACAGGTTCAAGCCTGGGACTAACGAGAGGGCACGATCCTCTAGTGGCAAAGCCACGTGCAAGTCCCAGCACAATTACAGCCAAGGGCTATAGTTGTAAGCTTGAACCTGTGGTCCCACGTGGCTTAGTGATGCAGCAAGTAAACAAACCTTGATCAGGTGCATGCAATTGAGTAGATTCAGAACCCGCGAGAACGTTGTAAACATCTTGACCATGCCCTTACTTTGCCTCGTGGAATCTGGTTATAAAATAAAGACTCGGCTTGCAGGCTGTGGTGCTGTCTTTTCATCAGAGAAGCAGCGTCCCACCTAGCCCCAGCTTTATTCTCTTGTCTGTCTTTTCTAAATCCTTCACCGCCCCCTCTCAGGCTCACCCATGGCCTTGCCGGCTCTGCACAGAGATCACTAATAGAACTAAAAATACATGCCAAGATATATTTGATGAAGAAGCTGTGTAAGAAAGAGGGAGATGCATACACCTGTAATGTTCGCACAAAGCTGGGCTACTGCTAGGGAGGGCAGCTGAGGCCCTACTCGAATTCTTTTGAACAGTGTGGCAGGCATTTTTAAAAACAGGTTTCTGAGGCATAATAGACATACAACAAACTGCACATAGTTCAGCGTACAATTTCATCCGTTAGACATAGATGCACACCTGTTCAGCCATCGCCACACTCAAGGGAGTGAACAAATACATCACCCCAAACGTGTCATCCTCTCTCCACCAGAACAGGCCAAAGAGCAGTGCTTCAGATAGACAGCAGGAAATGCGAGCAAAGGATAATAAGCAAGCCGAGAAGCAGAAAGCATAAAATAAGAGGACAGAAAGAACCCACTGTATATGGGTGAGATCTATATATATGAAAGCCTAAGCGACCGTTCAACCGTTTGACCGTTCGACCAGTAGCTATGACACACACTGACCACCAGGGGGCGGGCAGACAGTGCACAGGCATGGAAACATGAAACAGACTGATGAATCTCAGAGGGAAGGGGGGCGGGAAGAGATTAACCAAAGATCTTATATGCATACTAGAGGCCTGGTGCACGGATTTGTGCACCGGTGGGGTCCCTTGGCCTGGCCTGCAGGGATCGGGCTGAAACTGGCAATCTGAGATTCTCCGAGGGGTCCCAGATTGAGAGAGGGTGCAGGCCAGGCCGAGGGACCCCACTGGAGCACAAATCCATGCACCGGGCCTCTAGTAATTTAATAAAAGGCAAAGACTCTCTGAGTAATAATATCAATAAAATGTCTAGCATTGTATACACAAGTGAAGAATTCACCTTATTTTCGAGCATCCATGGACATCAACCATAAACATCCTAGTGTGTCCCCAAAACCATGAATTTCACAGATCATGTTTTCTGATTAAAAAAATTAAATTAAAAAAATTCTTCTTAGCAGTTGGAACATAGAGGAATAAAATACATTCACAGAATATTTGGAAAGTAATGAAAGTAAAAACCTGGTAAGAATAAAGCCATTCTCCAAGGCAGATTCATAGTATTAAATGCATTGTGTATAGAAAAAGAGAGCTACACCACATATAATTTAAGTATTCAATTCAATAAATTAGGAAAGGAGGAAAAAGCAACCCCAATAAAATAAAATAGATAAAGCCAAACTTAACGCAGCTCTACGAAAAACAGAGCTGACAAGTAAGTGTGACTTGATTTGAAAAATACACTTCAGAAATCTGGTGACTCTAATTAAATAAAAACATACAAAATACAAGCAACACGACAAAGGATATAATTACAAAAAGAGTAATATATATATAATTATGCTAATGCTCTTAAAATCTCAACGATCTGGAATTTTCTGGAAAACTGTAAATTATCAAAAACTTCAACAATTACAGAATACATTGGCATTTCTATAAAAATACTTTCAAAAGAAGGTTGCAGGCCCAGCAGTTTTATAGGTGAGCTATTTAGAACATTTAAGGAACAGATGTATAACTCTTCCAAAGCAGAGAAAAAGACCAAGAGACCCATATAATCTCACGAAGCTGAAAGCAATCCCGTCACCAAAAATCTATCCAAGCTAACCTCACAATGAAACGATCGACCTGTCTCACTTCTGAGCACAGGTATGGAAATTCTAAATACATAAAATACTCGCCAGTCAAATTCAGGAGCCTGTTAATGATTCATCCGAGTCCAGTAGACTTTGTCCCAGGAATGTGAGAATGGTTTAATGTTAATGGTTTAAGTATAAGAAGTTGCATCAGTAGGTTCTATAGTTTGTACCATGTGCCGGCCTCCTCGCTAAGTACCTGGCATGGCTTATGGTAAACACCCATAGCCACACCTGGGGATGGGTCCCCTCTCTCACCTGCAGCGACCCCTCCACCTGTGTGCTCATCCCCACTCCCCTTCTCAGGGACCTTCCACAATCAATCAACTACCCCTGTCCTATACTTTCACCTCCTCCCCTCCCCACACCTGGCTCCTTCCCATCAATGCCGAAACAAGCTCAAGATCTTTGTTAAAAAAAAAGAAAAATCTCTTGACCCTGGGTGACCCTCCCCTGGAGACTTCTGGGAGGAATTATCTGTGCTCACCCTGTTTTCTCACACTTCACTGGTGGGGGTGGGGTGGGGGGGGAGGGGGCCCTCCAGGCTGGTTTCTGCTCCTTTGATTCCCCCTCAAACAGCTTTCCCAGATGAGTTGCAAGCTTGTCGCGTTTCAGTCACATCACAGGTGCAGTGATGCTCTAGGCCAGTGGTCGGCAAACTCATTAGTCAACAGAGCCAAATATCAACAGTACAACGATTGAAATTTCTTCTGAGAGCCAAATTTTTTAAACTTAAACTATATAGGTAGGTGCATTGTTATTAACTTAATTAGGGTACTCCTAAGCTGGCCTTTGCTAAAAACGTCCTCAATCTGATTGAGGTACGTTCGCTGAGGTCGACCCCTTCCAACTCTCCCATCCACACTCGTCTTGTAGACTTGTTTCGTCTATCTCCTTTCGTGCATCCTCTCTGTGTCCAAACCATCTCAACGTACCTTTCTCCATCCTCGACACTACATCTTCTTTCACTCCACAACGTTCCCTAAAATTAACTTAATAAACTTTACTGAAAGTTTTAAGTCAACTTCGCACTGTATGTGCACGCCAGCACGTGGTATTTTGTGGAAGAGCCACACTCAAGGGGCCAAAGAGCCGCACGTGGCTCGCGAGTCTCGGTTTGCCGACCACTGCTCTGGGGTGAAGTACCGGCCTTCGCAGTGAACAGCAAAGGGAGGTGTGTGAGAGCGGGTGATGCCCCTGTGCTAACAAGGCGCCCCCCAACCATGGCTTCCTGACGAGCGGAGGGCGTCAGGCTTTCCTGCGTCGCCCTGCTGAGCGGCCTCCGCTGCTCCTGGGAGTGACTCGGGGGATCCAGGCTCCTCCTGGGCCGGTCCTGCCTGGGATTCCTCGCCCACGCACGGCGTTTCCCACCTGATGGAGCGTGGGCGCTTCACAAAGCCGGGGGCCCTGCTGGCCGTAGGTTGTTACCCCGGTTTGTAGAGAATGAGCCGGACGCTCAGAGGCCCTCGGCAAGTGGACGCGCATCCCACGGCGACAGAGGCGGAGGCCGGGCAGGAAGGCAAGTCCCGCTCGCCCCTCGGTCACACTGCTTGTGCCGGAGGCCACCCTCTGCAGGTTTACAGCCCTGCCTGCCTCCAGCTGCTGGCTGGGGGGTGCGGGGGACCCTGCCAGCAGGTGCTTTCTTAGACTGGAAGCTTAGAAAGCCCCCTGGTTTCTGGAACTCTCTCTTCCCCGCTGGAGTTTTCCCTGTGGGCCCGGCAGCCCCCTCCCCTATGCATTCAGGGTCCTGCCCAGAGCCTTTCCCAGGTTCCCCAAGAAAAGGCCAGACCTGTTCCCTGGGCTCCGCGACTGGCCAGACACCGCCCTCTTCTCTGCTGCTTAGAAGTAAAACACGGAGTGACAAGCAGCTTGGAGGAGTGGAAATGTCAGCGCGACACCCTCGCGTCTCCTCCGAGCACGGAGCTCGGCGATGGGAAAGGTTGCCCAGAACGCAAACTGTGAGCAAGGAGCCGTGGGAAGTTCCTCTCCGGGGTTCTGGGAGCGGCAGCTCCAGAAGCAGCGATTCTGCTGCCAGGAGCCCCCCTGCCCCCCAGGCGAGCCGTGGGCCATCGCCAACCACCTGCTGCGCCAGGCAGCTATGGCTCCATGTGGCTCCCGGCACGCGGCACCTCCGGCGTCCCTTCCTGAGCCCTGTCCTCGCTCTGCTCTGCCAGCGTGCTGCCTCTGGTCACGCTCAGGCCCCCACCCCCTGGCCTCCAGCACCTCAAGGGCAGAGACTGTGTCCCTGTGAGGCCTGGCCCAGAGCGGGCTCCGCCGATGTTGTCCAAGGAGTGAATGGCACTTCCTGGAGCTCAGCATTCGGATTGGACTAGAGGCCGGGTCCTGAGGAGGACAGGCCACCCTTGTCTGGGCACCAGAGGCAAGGACCCTGGGTGGGGACAGAGGGCCACCCTGGGCAGGCCTCCCGCCGACCCTCAGCCCTGGGCCTCAGCTACAGAATGGTGGGACCAGCTCTGCCCTACCCATGCAGCCTGAGTTCCTCCTCCTCCCCAAATAGCCCTGCCTGGCTGGACCCCAGCCTTGACTCTGGGGGCTGCCCCACCCCAGCCCACCTCCTGCTCCTGCCAGGCCTTAGCCGGTGGGAAAGCCAGGAGGCCTGGAGCTTGAGCGTCGCCCACTTCACAGAAAGTCCACCTGGAGGCGAGGCTTAGGTGTGTGTGTCTGCGTGCTGGTATCTGTGGTTGTTTATGCACACACGTGTGTGTGCACGTGTGCATGCGTGTGTGCATATGCACGTGCCTGTGTTTGTATGTGTGTGCATGTGTGTGTGTGTGTGTATGTGCGCACGTATGTCTTAGGTAACAGAGAAGGCTCGAGGGGTATGTCGTTTGTGTCATCCTATAGAATAAAAGCCTAATATGCAAATCGTTCAACTGGGAGTTCGACCAGGAGTTCAACCGCTCGCTATGATGTGTGCTGACCACCAGGGGGCGGC